AACATAGCTGTGCAAAAACAAAATTTGCTGACAATATTTGCAACACATCACAGTACAAAACTATTCCAGAAAATGGCTGTGCACATATTTGCATCACATTAGAGAATAAATCTATGCCAGAACATAGCTGTGCAAAAACAAAATTTGCTAACAATATTTGCAACACATCACAGTACAAATCTATGCCAGAACATGACTGTGCACACAGTAATTGCAACACATTGCAGACTGATGACTACATGACTACATATTTCAAAAGTATGTTTTGTCTCAATTCATTTTGTGCAGAGAAATTTCATTTGTTTGTAGTCTGTAGAAACAGTATCACACCTATGGACCTTTGTGAAAAGCTGCAAAACAGTTACGTTCAGTTTGCAAACACAGGAACATGTTGCATGTCATACATCGGACACGTGATTTCCCTGAGCATCCTGTTTGTCTGCAACGCATTGGGTTTTTCAGGTTGACCATCTCTGGAAGATGTTTTGTAGAAGTTGTTCGGATTGAGACATGCGGTACTGGGGTGATCTGATGTCTGCTTCCTTGTTGCAAAGGGTGTGCATTCTCTTCTTGTGCATCTTCAACAGCAGTGCCACACTTGCTCAAGTATGCCTGAGCCACTGTCATGCGAAACTGAAGAAACTGCATCATGTCTCTTTTTGGTGTGCCACACAGAGTGTTGTCTTGGCGATATAATAGCCAGCTGTTGGCTAAAGCAAGATCAAGGAAGTGCATCAGCATTCGAATGGTCCACTTCTTGGTTCGGACACTCATTCGGTAGTAGCTCATCATCCTGTCTGTCAAGTCAACCCCGCCCATCTTGGTGTTGTACTCGCGCACAATACTTGGTCGCATGACAGACACATATTGCTTGTCTTTCTTGGACCATCGCTGGCACACATCTTCTGGCTGTTCAGCATGAACAGTGGAAAGCATCAAAACTGCTTTGTTGTCATACCACTTCACCACACAAACCTTGCCATCTCCTCTGGTAACTGAGGCTGAGGCACCTCGTCCTTGCTCTTTCATGTCTTGGTCACTTGGTAGCTTCTGCAGTGGTTCAGTGACCCGGTTCTTCATTATTGTACCAGTTAGGTACACCTGCTTCTCCAGCATTTGATCTACAGCTTTCATGGATGTGAAGAACCGATCACAGTATACCTTTGTGCCAGGGTGTAGAGTTTTAGCCAGACGTGCAATAACCAGTACTCCCAAACCAAGTTCCTCTGCATCCTGGATCTGTGATCTCAGTGAGTTTGCACCTTGGTAGACTTCAAAGTCCAGCACAATGCCACCTGCTGTAGCCAGCACAAAGTTTTTCATGCCAACTGGATTGGGCTTTAGTGGCACATACTGTCGAAATGGGCAAGCTCCTGTAAATGGGATCATCTGCTCATCAATTGATACACATTCTGGTCGAGCCTGAAGCAAGCAGCCTTTGAGGATGCGATCGATAAAGGGCCTGGTCTTCCAGAATTTGTCAGCTTTCCTCATGTCTTCAGAAATGTCACTATCAATGACTACTTTCAGATGTTTCCTCAGTTTGAAAAATCTGTCACGCTTGAGTTTGTCACTAATGGCAGGGATTCTCAAGGCACTGGACCAGAACATTCTAAGCTGTGGGTAAGACACACAAGACATGAAAATGGATGCTCCAAAAAATGATAAATCTCATCAACTGATGTGTTGAGAGAGCTACCACTGTTAGATAGAGACATAGCATTTGTGCAGTTAGCAATTAGATTCATCAACTCTCTATCAATGTACTGCTCCATATAGTCCAGTGGCTGCCAGTTATGTCTCTCATGCAGAGTTTCCTCTTCAGCCTCAAACTGCACTATGTCTGGAGTGAAGGCACTTGACTTCCAGCGCACTTTACTTGTATTCTTGCTAGATCCTGGCTCAACACTTCTACCACGCTTACGTTTACGTGCACATTCTGTGGATGGTGGTGGCTCACTGTCACTATCACTGCTCTGCTGATCAGATTCTGATAAATCAGGTGGAATATAATCTTTATCATGTAGTAGTTCCACACCAGGATCAGCTTCTTCACCATCAGACAGCTCCTCCACATCAGAGTTCTCTCCTACTATTGCATTCAGCAGTCTTTCTGCTTTTGACAAAGAAATGGACCCTAGACATGTATCGGATAACAATAAAAGAAATTTAATCAATGTAGACTAATGTGTACCACATGCAACAACTGTTTATATTTATATTTAGTGGAAACTGTTAGTTTTTTTTTTACAAATCTTCCCAAGCCATGTGTCATTACTTTTACACCTTCACACAGACAATGTATTAACTTGGTCCCAATGTCCTCAAACGAGTACTTCATAGTTAGAAGCCTCCTAACTTGTTACTATTGCTAAAAGATGTCAAAGTTATATACCATCTCAAACTACAGACGTTAAAAAGCATAAATTAGCAGGTTTCAACCATGAAATGTTTTTAGGTTTTGTACCTTGTCCATTTTTATTTCGGGCTTGGCTGTAGAACATCTTGGCTGAGATCGAGGCCATCTTGGAATTATAGTAACACATGTAATGTGCTTTTCCTACCACAAGATGGTGGTAAAAGTGTCTACATACGAGGACAACAGGTCTAAGTTGAGAAGAAATAAAGTATATGGTGCAGGAAACCCAAAATGTGCGGTCCTCATATGAGGACGCAGGGACTCTAGAGTTTCTCTTTCCATACTCCATTCAGTGCATGTTCACGAGTGAGTGGGGACAATGGAGCTGAGGACTGTGGATGTTGGAGGCTTCAGGGAGAAGTGTCCCCAACCAAAGAACATCTTAACGTGAGCAGTTCTCCCTTAATTGGTTTGCATGCTTCAGTGGAATGTCCTCCACACTTTACAGAACAAAATAACTTGGTCCATTTTGTCTTTGTTTTCCCCAACAGCCTGTCTCCAATCCAAGATGATCTTAACATTGAGGGATGGAACAACCCTTCACAGGACACAGCTGTGGAAAATGGTATCAACCCTCATGAGGACATTGAGGTAAGGGAAACTGTTGGACACAGTTTTAGTAAAAACAACTTGTGGCTTAATCCCAGAAAAAGTCTTGATCCTCTGGAGTTCCTGACAAGAGTCACACAATTGTCCCTGGAACCAAAATCTGCCACATTCCCAAACACAGCT